AGATGTGTATAAGAGACATCTGTTAGATATTTCCTTTGCGACATGTTGGTGAAATGAGTCGGCTTGCAGGCTTGACTGCAAAAGTGTTTGCGAATCTCTTCGTAATTTCTGTAGGGCAACATTCCACGGGCATAAATTTCGTTGGATGACCCGTCGATCATAACGCTACATTCTTTGATCTTTGGGTTGTAAAACTTTTCGGGGTCGTGCTCGAAATCAGTCTCTCGTTCCTTAAACAACAAAAGCACGCCTTTGATGGATTTGGCTGCCGTGTTTAGAGTAATGTTCCAGATTGTTTGATCTTTGTTTAAGACATCTTTGTGGTGCATCAACACTCTGTCAAAGAGTATTACAGATTTATCCTGATATTTCATCCTAGTCTGACGAGAAACCCCCTCACTTTTTATAATCTCATACTCGAGAACGATTCCCTCCAATTTAAAGGTTGCAGCAGCGTCGCTAGTCATGAGCACGTCCTTTGCGTTTCTAAACGTTATTTCGTACTCGAGTCGATCGTGTAACATCTTTTGGTTGAAGGGCATGTGATCGGTCAGTAACTCAAAGTCGAGAGGGATGCAAAATCTGTTACCGTATGCATTACCAACGGCCGCGTCGTAAGGGGCGCTGGGAATATCGTTTGTTGCAGCTACTACCTTGTCATCAGCGTTTACACGTATTTTTCGTTCGTTTTCGCTAGAGATGCCTTGATACGAACTATTGAGACGTTCGTGATCTGTCTTCCACAAGTCCTTGTAACAATTGTACACGTCATAATCGGTGAGGGTAAAAACTTCCTTTCCTTCCAGAGTTATACGTATTTTCTCGACGAGTGATCTACCGATATTGTTGACGATTGTTCGATTTACGTCTGCGCTCGAGGTTAGAACTAGATTAAAGGCGAGTCGAGCTGTACCCGGAACTATAGCGTCGTCGTCACCGAGATCCGGAAATCTAACTCGCAAAACATCGCCGGGGCCAGCTTCGTTTATCTGGTTCATGACCGTGGTAAAGACGCGTTTATCGTTTCTATGGTCGGTATTTTTGGCCTTTACCGATCTATTGGCGCTTATTTCGTGATGCATTTTTTATAATGGTAACTTTTTTTAATCCGTTAATTGTTTGCACTCTATAATAAAATGACAGATTTACCTATGCACGATTTTACCGAAGGTCGCGATTACGATGATTTTGATGACGATAAAGAAACGAATCTCGATTGGGACGGTCAAGGTTTCGGAATCGTCGATAGAGAAGATCAAGCCGTCTTTGACAGAGGTCAAGCCTCTCTTTTGAGACTAGACATGAGACTGCAATCGTACAGGCAATTTCTTATGGAAAGTGGATATAACGACGTTAAACTGACCGACAAATCTAGATTTATAATCAAGACAAACGCATTGAAACAAGACGAATTGTTTTTTATAAATAACAACGGCGAAGAAGTAACGTTAACCTGGTCAAAAGACGCGGCGAAATTTCGTAAACTCTCGACGACTAGAATAAACGCCGCAGAAATTAAAGAATACATTGCCGGGGATTATAATGCGGCCAGTCGAGCTAGCGGTTCGAGGCAAGCTCTTAAAAGCGCATACGAACAAGTGGAAGAGGTTGAATTGGACAATTTAAATCCGACAGATACGACTCTGTTGATAGAACACCTCGAAAGCGATCTAGACGAGACAATGTTTCAATCTACGAGTCTAGGCGTTCAAACAGATATCCAAGCTAGAGAAATCGCGGGTGTTATGGATGCAATGACTACGGTCAAAGAGGAACTCGCGCTTTCTCTGGCAAAACTCAGAAAGATTAACGAAAAAATAACAGAGTACAAACGAGAATGGCGTGAGATGAAGGAACATAACGCAACGCCTGAAGAGCTGAAACAACTCGAAGATCAGATACAAGGCTTACAAATAGAAAAGGATGGTATATTGCAAATTGTAGAAACTAATACGGGTAGGGTAAAGAATCAAGTCAGGGAGATACAAGGTACCATTGGTAGAATGTTGGGCGACGATTTACGACTGAGAGATAGATTAAAGATTTTGTTTCGTGAACAAGGGATAACTATCGCTAGTATTATCACGGCTATAGGTTCGATCATTGCGTCGTTGATTGCGATATTTACCGGCGGAGACTCGACTTTTCCTCCTGACCCTGAACCGACTCCGGGCCCCGGTCCGACTCCTAAACCGACGCCGGATCCTGAGAAACCTGATGGATGGCTTAAAAAACACCTGAAAAACTTTGCCGAAATCCTGAAAAAGCTCGGTGATAAGGCTCTTTTGGCGTTACCCGGAATTATCGGAGCTGTTGTAAGCTTTCTACTAAAAACAGCCGGTAACGTCGTTGGCTTTGTAGCCGACCGTGTTTGGTTGTTGATTCTGGTCGTTGCCGGAATCGTTTACAATTATCTGGTAGCGTGCGTGAAAACTAACTCCAAACCCTCGTCAGCTCGTAAACGAAAAAAGTAACGACTGCGAATCCAATCACCATCGAAACTTGTCAAATTCGTGCTCGGAGAGCTTTGGAGACGCTGCGAGCGTTGGAGTCTTGCCAAGATCAGCGGTGGCCGGCGTCGGAATCGTAGGCGCCGCAGGCGGTGCCGCAGGTATCGCATTCGGCATCGGAGTCGGAGTCGGCGTCGGCGTCAGAGTCGGCGTCGGAGTCGGCGTCGGCGTCAGAGTCGGTTTGATGGGAATCGCTAGCGATTCGATGGGTTTTGTTACGGGTTCGTTAATGTCGTTTAATCCTAA